GGAACATTTTAGACCTAAATCATAACATTCCACCTGTGGATCTCCAAAGACTCATGTACAGCACTTTAAGCAAAGCACGTTTAGTTCATCTCTAAGAATTTCCCAAGGGCTGGCCAGATGGCTTAGTGGGCCAAAGCGCCTGCTTAGGCAGAACACAGCAGCCAGGGTTTGATCCCCAGCATGCTGCGCCATCCCCACCCCCAAGGCACACGGAGAGGGCAATTGAAACTGGGTATGGTGGCACATGCCTGTAATCCTAGAGCTTGGGAGGCTGAAAACAGGAAGATCACTATGAGTCCAATCTATGTAGTGAGACTCTGTAGACCCTGTACTAAAATAAAAATAATAAAAATAAAAGGATTTCCCAAGTCAACAGTTCTAACATGACTTAAAAGTCCACTTTCAAGGCCTTTTCTGAGGGCTGGCCAAATAGCTCAACAGATTAAAGTGCCTGCAAGCAGGTGCAGGGGCTGGGGGTTTGATCCCCAGGCCTGCCATGCCAGCCCTGCTCCCAGGGCACACTGAGATGGCAATTGAGACTGGGCATGGTGGTGCACATCTGTAATCCCAACTCTTGGTAGGCTGTAAACAGGCAGATCACTGTGAGTCCAATCTAGTAATGAGACCCTGAACACCCTATAGACCCTTCCCTTAAATGCAGAAAAAAAGTATTTTCTGAGACATAAAGGAAACTCTTAGCTTAAAAGTGAGCCCCAGTGTCAGTGAGATGTCTCAGTAAAATAAGCGCTTGCCTGGCAAGCACAAGGGCCTGAGTTCAATCCCCAGTTCCACAAAAAAGAAAAACAAAAGTGAGCCCCTTTGAGAATCAACATACACACAACATACACACAGGATAAACATTCCCATTCTAAAAAGGAGGACTAGCAGGACAGAAAAGGACCAGACCAAGAGAAGACTAAAGCCAGAAGAGCAGACACTGAATCCTGTAACTCCAAGACCAGCACCCACAGTAGGCTGTAAGGCAATGTGCAGTTCCAAGTGTTCAAGCAGCATGCTCGTATGTCTTGACGGCTGCAGCCACCATGCCTCACTCTTGAGCTGGCTCCATTCACTGCTGGTGGCTTTTCCTCAGCAGATGTGCCACGTTCTGTCATCTCCAATTTCCTGGGGTCTCCACTGCCACTTTGGCTTCTTCTTGAAGCTCTATGCACTGCCCTTTCAAGCGCTCCTAGTAGGGACTGTGACCCTGCCATGCATTTTTGCCTGGGCTCCCGTGTATTTTCCTAAAGTCTGGGTGGAAACTACTGTGACTCTGTAACTTCTGCACTCTGCATGCCTTGAAAACCAGCACCTAGTGGATGATGGCAGAGTTTGCTGCTAGCTTGAGAAGTAGTGGGGCACCCTGAACCATGGCCACAGCTGCTTCTGAGCTCCTGGAGGACTTAATTTAAGGAAACATCCCTTTCCATGACTTACATGAGCAGAGCACTTTGGGGCTCACTTCTCAAAAGAAAAGTTCATACTTTTTCCCTCTTCAGCCTGTGGAGGATGGGTTACTGACTCCTGAGAGGACCACAAACCATCTTTCCTACTGTCCTGATGCAAAGGACTTGACTTCTCTCCAGTGCTAATCTTTTCAGCAACCATGCTGTTCTTTATGCTCTAACTTTCCACATTCTTCCTTTCTGGCAAAACTAGAAACTTTTTAGACCTTCTGGCTCTGCCTTTTGCTCCTGATTCTCATTTTAGACTTGGCTAAAAAGCCATCAGTAGCCATGCGGCAGCCTAAAGATTGGGCTGCCCTAAAATTTCCTCTGCCAGGGGGCATCACAATCCCTGATTTGAAGTTATACTGTAAACCTACCATGATAAAGCACTATGGTGCTGGCAACAAACCAAACCTGAGGATCAATGAAATAGAATAGAAGATACTAAAACAATTCCAAGCACACTCACCTTATCTTTGACAAGGGGGGACAAGACCCCCCTTTGACAAGTGGATCAAAGACCTAAATATAAAAAACAAAAACACTTAATCTCCTTGGAGACAAAGTAGGTAAAACTCTTGAAGATATAGTTATAGACAAAGACTGTATGAACAAAACTCCAGTTGCACAGGAAATAGTACAGAGAATCAACAACTGGGATCACATCAAATTAAACTTTTGCACAGCAAAAGAAACAGCTAACAGAGTGAAGAGCCAACCCACAGAATGAGATAATCTACAGCTACTCCTCAGACAAAAGACTAACTTCTAGAATATACAAGAACTCAAGAAAATCAGCTCCTTTCCCCAGTTTAAAGATCCAAACCAAAAATGGGCATCTGAAATGAATAGACGTTTCTCAGATGAAGAAATACAAACAGCAAATAAATAGATAAAAAAGCTCCACATCACTGATCATTGGAGAAATGTAAATTAAAACAACACGAGATTTCACCTCACTCCAGAAAGAATGGCTGCCATCAAGAAATCTACCAATGGGGCTGGGGAGATGGCTCAGTGGAATACGCGCTTCCCTGGCAAGTGCAAGAGCCTGAGTTCAATCCCTGGTTCCGCCAAGGAAGGAAGGAAGGAAGGAAGGAAGGAAGAAAGAAAGAAAGAAAGAAAGAAAGAAAGAAAGAAAGAAAGAAAGAAAGAAAGAAAGAAAACAATTACAAATGCTAGTGAGGCTGGGGGGGTGGGGGAAAGAAACCCTCTCCTTTGCTGGTAGGAGAATAAACTGGTACAACCACTATCAGTTGGAAATCAGTGTGGTAATTACTCAAAAACGTGAAACTAGAGGTTCCACTTGACCCAGCGGTTCCCCTTCTAGGTACATTCCTGAAAGAGTGAAAAGCATCATACCATAGTGACATATACATATCCATGTTTATAGCAGCACAATTTATAATATCTAACTCTTGGAAATAGCTCATATGCCCATCCACAGATGAATAGATAAAGAAAATGTGGGTTTTATATACAGTGGAATACTACTGTGGGATACAGTAGGGTAAACTTGAATCATTTACATACGGTCTCAGTGCCCTGAGACCATAATCTTAAGTGAAATAAATTGAACTCACACATTTAAATATCGCATTGTTTCTCTTGAGTTAGAAACCCAAAGAGTACACAAGGAGCACAGTGGGGAGTAGATACTGGAATGTAGCAAGAACATGTTCAACTGAGAAGGGGAATGAGGGAGGGAGAAGGGAAAAGGGGAAAAAGAGATGGAAAGAAAAAACAAAAACCACTCTTTCGGGTCCTCCTTTCCAAGATGACGAAAAAAAAGAAGGAACAATGGTCGTGCCAAAAAAGGCTGCAGTTGTGTGCAGCCTATTTGCTGCACAAACTGCGCCCGGTGCGTACCCAAGGATAAGGCCATTAAGAAGTTTGTCATTCGGAAGGTAGTGGAGGCCGCCGCCATCAGGGACATTTCTGAAGTGAGTGTCTTCGATGGTTACGTGCTTCCCAAGCTGTATGTGAAGCTGCATTACCGTGTGAGTTGTGCCATCACAGCAAAGTGGTCAGAAATCGATCTCGCGAAGCCCGTAAGGACCAAACTTCTCCACCCCGATGTAGACCTGCTGGTGCTGCCCCAGGACTTCCACCAGAGCCCAGGTAAGGGGAGCTGGGGCTTAATGGACTGAAGAAAACTCTTTTGAGAAAGAAATAATAAATCGAATGTTATACTTAAAAAAAAAAAAAGCCAAGCTTTTACAAATGGAAAGACAAGAAGGATTGGAGGGAGGGGAGAGGAATGGGGAAAACAGAATTAAGTTCTGTTACATACAGGCACAAATTCTCTGTGATGAATGTGATCAATATGTAGAATTAGAGTGTACTGATAAGAAAGTTTAAAAGTTTTCCTCTACCAGTTTAGGGGATGCTATCTATCTAAACCCCAGCAAGGGGGAAACACACCTGCCTTCTTTACAGAGCTGTGAATTAAGGTGCAGCACACAGGGTCCCATGAATAACACTCCTGTTTTCCTCTTCTGACTTCAGAAGTGATGAACAAGACAGACATGAAGCAAAATGTACTGATTAAAAAAAACTAAGTGTTTTAAAAATTTTATTGAGAAACAAATAACAAGACAGTTTCAAAACAGGTTAGTAGGACGGTTACAATAATTAATACATTGCATATTGTTGTCTTCATAGTGGTTATTCATAGTACAAGATGCAGACATGATATCCTGTCCACACACTATTAGTACAAATCTTTCTTCTCATTGAATTAAGAGAAAGTAGCTATATATATTTCACTACAAAATGGTCCTTCATTTATATCCCCTTTTTGTTTAGCTTTGTCAGAGATGAGTATTCCATTTCCATTTAGATATTGTAGGTGCATGAATTTGGCAAAATAATACAATATAGTCCAGTAGTCCATAATAGTAGTGGGCTATCTATAAGACTGGTAATACAGAACTTGTTGGCCGCTCACGTAGGGTTTTGCGCCCGGCGCGCGGTGCGCTCAGCGCTGCCCAGAGCCCGGGCGGCGCTCGGCTCCAAGTGCAAATCCCAAACGACTGCACCCGCGGGGTGGTGCCTTTGCACCCAGCGCTGGGGCTGGAGAGATGGCTCAGTGGTCTAAAGCACCTACTTGAAACAAGCTTGGCAAAGCACAGGGACCGCGGTTCAATCCCCCAGCACCACATGC